TAATTGGGATGGGAGTGTCAGAGACAGTGCGATTGGCACAGGACAGAGCGGAGTTTAGGGCTGTTGTACATAGGGTTGCTATGAGTCGCAAGCGGACTCGACGGCACATAATAACAACAACAGAAGGCCCTGTGCTACATGCTTATGTGCATTAATTTGTTTCATTTCCTCAACAGTGCTTCAAGATAAGTAAGTACTGTTAGTATTTTTATGATCCTGATGGGAAAATTGAAGCTTAAAGAGGCTGAACTGGGCCTAGCTTGTCTGATTTGGTCTCTGGACTGTTGGGAGAATTCAGTGTAACATGAGAAAGATGAAGCAGCAAATGTTCAAGTCCCCAAGAAGAGAGGGGTCTGAGGGATACTGGTCCAACGTGACCCCCTGGGCCCCTCTGCAGGTTAGCTGCTTGAATCTCCTGCTCAGGGTCTCAGCTTTGTCATCACAGCCACTGGATAGCACCTGTGTAAATGAAGGAGCGGGCATCCCTCTAGACAGACAGCTTCATGAGGGGAACAGCTTGCAAGCTTTCGGCCCCTTTGATTCCTGGTTTTATCACCACTTGGTGGTGAAGTCACCACACCTCTGTTCCTTAGCATTCTCATCTCTGCAATGTGGATCATTATATCTGCATCCTAGCATGGTTATCAAGATTAAATTAGCTAGCAGATGTAAAGTTTCTCACACAGCACCTAATACATGGTACACATTTCATAAATACTGCTTTGAATCAGCTTTTGGATTGTCTGGCCCCTGTCCGAGCTGAGGAATGTGTCAACTTGATGTCACATTCATCACATGACAAGTTCAACTTGAGTGGGTCTCATTTTGCTTCATTGCTGCTAGTCTTTTGTTCCAAGGTAAAAGGAAGCACCTACTATGTGTCAGTCTTTCTGCCAGCATTTCACAAACGTGACTTGCTATGACTACAGCACCTTTCCTACCCTCTCAGCCTTTTCAGCTGAATATTGCTGGATTTCCCCTCACTGTTTTTTTTTCCTTCATTTTTTTAATTATTTTGTGTGTGTGTGTATCGTCAAATCAGATCTGACTGGTACAGGAGGAGATTGTCCCTCCTTCTCCAGCAGAGCATCTGGTGGATTCGAACTGCACACCTCTGGGATTGCAGTGCAGCTTCTTGCCACTAGGCCACCAGAGCTCCTCTCCTCACTGTTCTAAAGCTCCTCTAAATTCCCCATCACCAGGATGAGGACAGGTGGCTCCTGGCCTCCATTTCTTCTCCCCACTCCAGTGCTGTGGCCCAGGGTTCTCACCCCCCGAGGAGGTTAGTGACTCTCCTCAATATCTAGGGAGTAAGCGCTGTGGACCAGGCAAGAGGACTTCTGATTATTGTAAGGGCATTTAAAAGAAGCTCAGTTTACGACAGTGCAGGTGAAAGAAATGGAATAGGTTCTAAGGATTAACCTACAGTGGAGCCAACTTCTGAAAGAACCAGATAAGGAACTCACTCACCATCAGTTTTCTCAGATTCCATTTCTTGTCACTGTGTCCTCCTTAGCTAGTCCTTAGCTTAGACCTTCCTTTATAGAGCTGAGAGCAAGTCTTTGCCAGGTCCCAAGCTTGTACCTTCCACCTTGGTCCTAGAGTAAGCTCCTGATCAACCGCTCTTCAGGTTTTAGTCTACATCTTAGGGAAGAGCTCTGATTGATTATTTTGGCCCAAGTGTCCAGCCCTAGGTCATTGCTTATAGCCATGGGGCAATGCCATACAAGCCTTAAAACATTTGCCTGCAAGGGAAGAGGAAACCAAATAAAATAAGTCACCACTTGGCTACATAGGATAGCTCTGGTAGCCTTGGAGGTAAGGAATTGCATTGTCACCTCAAAGACAAGCAGTTCAAATCCACCAGCCGCTCCTTGGGAGAAGGATGGATAATCTCCTGTGCACTTTATAACCTCTGAACACCTGCTGGAGAGTCAGCTATGAGCTGGTTGGATCTGATGACAAATTGACTTCATCGAGTTTTTTCTGATGTCATGAATGCCAATATCTAGTTGAGCTAGCACTGAAAACTTCCTATGTGCTCCATATATACATATATATACATATGTATGTATGTATACATATATATGTGTGTGTATGTATATGTATATATATTTGTTGTTATGTGCCATTGAGTCACTTGTGACTCATAGCAACCCTATGTACAACAGCCCTAAACTCTGCTCTGTCCTGTGCCAATCGCACTGTCTCTGATACACCCATACCGATTACCCCAGTCACTGAATCAATCCACCTCATAGAGGGCCTTCCCCTCCTGTGCTGTCCCTCCACTCTACTAAGTATGATGTCCCTTTCCAAGGACGGGTCTCTCATTACAATATGTCCAAAGTATGTCAGATGGAGCCTCAGAATCCTTGCCTCCAAGGAGCCGCCCAGTTTGACCCTTTCCAGGACGAATCTGTTTGTTTTCCTAGCAGTCCATGGTACCCTCAATAATTCTCATCTCCAGCACCACAGCTCAAAGGCATCAATTCTCCTTCTATCCTCCTTGGTCATTGTCCAACTTTCTGATGCATAACAAGTGAGAGCAAAGACCGCGGCCTGTATCAGATGCACCTTAGTCTCTAGAGAGACACCGTTGCTCTTCAGTACTTTGGAGAGGTCCCTAACAGCATATTTTGCCATCACAATACGTCTTTTAATTTCCTGGCTACTTGTGCCGAGAGTGTTGACTGTGGAGCCAAGCAAACTATAGCTGTGAATAAGCTCAATCTCTTCGCCATCCATCCTGATGCTGCCAATTGGCCCAAGTGGTGAGAATCTTTGTCTTCTTGACATTGAGCCTCAATCCATATTTGGAGACTGCAGTCCTTGACCCTTTGCAGCAAGCACTTCAGGTCCTCCTCAGTTTAAAATCTCTCAACAATTCTGATGTATTTTTGCATAGAACACTCTGATGCAAATATTGCACATGTGCATATAACACATCATTCTCATCAGGAACTATCAGGCCAGGAGATTGCATAGGATTAAAAAGCTGTATAACACATGCATTATTTGTATAAAATTTGGTAATATCTTTGGCATAGTTCACAAGAGTTAAGTAGCTTGCTTTGGTCACACAGGGGCTAAATGATAGAAAGGGACAAGACCCCACGTGGTTTGACCCCAAGACAACTTCTCTCTCTGGTTCAATCTCCTGATTTCATGAATAGGTCACAGGGAGAGACATTTTTGGACCATTTCAGCTCAAGCTTATAAACATGACAGTTGTTGTTGTTAGGTGCCATCATGTAGAGTACAACTCACAACAATAGATCTGAACTCAGCCCTATCCTGTGCCATCCTCACAATCTTCAGCACTGTCAGGCCCTGTCACTGTGCGAATCCACCTGGTTCAGGGGCTTCCTCTCTGTCCCTCTCCCCTCCCAAACATGATGTTCCTCTCCAGGGAGTAACTTCTAGCAACATGCCCAAAGTATGTGAGATGAAGCTTTATCATTTTTGGCACCAAGGAGCACTCAGGCTGCACCTTCACCAAGACATTATCTCTTTGTTCTGTTGGCAGTCAGTGGGATGTCTAGCACTCTTTTCCAACACCACAATTCAAAGGCATCAACTCTTCTTCTCTCATCCTTAGTTATAGTCCAGCTCTTAGATGATTAGAAAATGACTGAAAAGACCATGGCTTGCATCAGGTGCACCTTATTCCTCAAACTGACATTATTGCTCCTCAATAATTTGGAGAGGACTCTGACTAAAGACTCTCTCAGTGCAATACATCTCCTGATTGTTAGTACCAAGGGTATTAATTGTGTATCAAACTAAGATGAAGTTGTTGACAGTTTCACTCTTTTCTCCATCCATCATGATGTTGCCTATTGGTCCAGTGGCTAGGATTTTTGTTTTCTTGATATTGAGATGCAATCCATACTGAACGCTGTGTTCTTGGCATAGTAGATGGCAGTGTAGATGGTCCAGAGGGCCCAGGTACCTGCCTCATTGATCCAAAGGCTGAGGTTGGTCCTGGAATAACCAGTGGACATTTTTACTCTCCACCTTTACCAAGGGAACACTGGGCAATGTCCAACTGTGACAAGTTGAAGAGGGCTGGTTGTGGTGCTCCTGGCATCTTATCTTGGGATGATGCCAAGAATCTTGTAAAGCACAGTTCCTCACAAGAAAGAATTCTCTGGTCCCAAATGTCAAATAGTACTGAGTTTGAGAAATCCTAGAGGCAGAGATTGTGAGGATGGCACAAATAGGGTAAGGTCACAGCCTGTTCATAGAGCCGTTATGAATTATAGTTGTTTCAACGGCTTCGAGTAACACCACCATAAAGTTTCCAAGGGTGTAAATATTTATTGAGTCGACAAATCTTTACAGGAGCAGACTGCCTCGTGTTTCTCCCACAGAGTGACTGAGAGATGCAAAAAAGCCCAGTGCTTAACCCACTGTGCTACCAATGTTCATTTTCAAACCCACGATCTTGGAGAGTTACTGTGGGAAGAAAATGCATCAGATAAAGCTGACCAGAGATTCTCTCTATTAACTCAGGGTCTTAAAGGAACAATGGATTCGCGCTAAGTACGAGCGACAGGAGTTTATGGCGGACGGGAAGGTCATGTCACCCCCAGGTAACATTTTCATCATGTTTCGAAGTTTGTATTCTGATGAGCTCTAGAAAACAAAGTGGCCATCTATTAGAAGCAAGGTCCAATCAAGAGATACCCCTAGCCTTCGCCCTGCCACATTCTCCTTTCCCTGAAAAGAGGTGAAGCACATTGGTTGATGGGAATTTATGGTTTGAACAGCAGAGATGTGTATTTGTCTCAAGTGCTGGCAAGCTCTTTGCACAGATTGCAGAAAGACTTCCTCATGAGCTGACCGGTTAGAGAAACAAGCCATGCTCTTGGCTAATGTCGCTCCTGGTGGGGTCCGAGGTTTGGTGAGGAGTTTGGGCTGGGCTTCCATCTCCCTTCCTGTTTGTGTAAGGAGCTCTGGTGGCCTAGTTTGTTACGTGTTGCACTGCTGACTGAAAGGTGCAAATCCACCAGCCATTCTGAGGGAGAAACATGGGCTGTCTCCTCCTGTATAGATTTACGTCTTCGAAAACCTGATGGAGGGTTACAATGAGCCAACATTGACTCAGTGGTAGAAGGTTTGGTTCTGCTTTTGTGCAAGGCCTAATAACCTCTGGTGGAAGTGTCTGCCCAGCTTCTCTTGCTCTAGGCTGATACTGATCCGGAGAGCAGTGTATGAAGCCACTGGGAGGTCAAACAAAGACACACAGACCTCTTGCTACCAAGCTGGTTCTGACTCATGGTAACCCCATGTGTTAGACCTGTGCCTCTGAGAGGTTTATTGGCTGTAATCTTTACCCAGCAGATCTCCAAGGCTTTCTGCCTCAAACTGATAATGTGAAGGGCAGTAGCTTAAAGGAAGTTGTGACGGCTCTGGTGGCTTAGTGGGTAAGGAATTGTGCTGCCAACTCAAAGTCAGGCAGTTTGAATTCACTAGTCACCCCGAAGAAAAAAGATGGACGGTCTCTTCTATGCCCTGGGCAGCCTCTGAACACCTGATGGAGGGTCGGCCAATTTGGTTCTGACTCCACAGACATTACAGGGACCTTCTTGGGACCCAGAGACAGTCAGTTCACACATATTATTCCTCACACCAACTCGGAGGTCACTCATTATTCCTGCACTCTGGGTAGTTTTGTTGGATTGATGTCTAGGTGAAGTAGTCAGACTTCATGTTTTAAGACCCCTTTCAGTACAAGCCCAGTTTCTCAATATTTAACCCTTTTAAGGGTTTAAGAGACACACTAGTGCCTGGTTACCCAGTAAGCAAGACAAGCCCAGCTCACTTGTGTTTACTAACCGTTTCACATTTTTGCCACATCAAATATTGTGCTTCTAGTTTTGATTGGATTCTAGCTCTCTCCAAACCTCACAGTATCTTCCTTCAGAATCAAAGCCCATGGCAGGGAGGAAGTACCCAGTAAGCAAAACAAACACTGCTTTACTTGTCCGTTTTGTGGTTTCTTTAAAAATTTTTTATTTTATTATTTGTGTGTGTGTGTGTGTACTGTCAAATCAAATCTGACTGGTACAGGAGGAGATTGTCCCTCCTTCTCCAGCAGAGCATCCGGTGGATTCAAACCATGCACCTCTGAGATTGCAGTGCAGCTTCTTTCCACTAGGCCACCAGAGCTCGCCTACTTGTCCATTTTTATGATTGCTTTGTGTACTCCATCCCTGAGAAAGCCAGCATCCAGGAAAAGTCAAGGAAAAAAAGGCTCTGATGAATGGGAAAGCCCAATGGAAAGTATAAAGCCACCCCAAAATTGGCTCCAAATGGGACGCTGTGTCCTACAGCTAAAATTACCAAGTTGAGACATTTGGGCAGCTGATGAAAGGCTTGTTCAACCTGAAATTTTGGGCAGCTGATGAAAGGCTTGTTCAACCTGAAAGCCTATGTGCTTAGTGAGCTGTGTGTTCATTCTAAGGTCGTGAACACTCAATTGCCTCTCATCTTTGCTTGTCCAAGGTTACCGAGAGGGATTCCTGTGGAAGCGGGGAAGAGACAATGCACAGTTCCTGCGGAGAAAGTTTGTCCTTCTGGCCAAAGAAGGCCTCTTGAAGTACTTCACTAAAGAAGAGGTAAGAGGCCAGACCTTGGGGAGCCCTTCTCTCAGCACTTGGCCCTCAACCCACTGAGGGCTACTTTTTTTTAAATTTTTTTTTTATTTTTGTGTGTGTGTACCGTCAAATCAGATCTGACTGGTACAGGAGGAGATTGCCCCTCCTTTCCCGGCAGAGCATCTGGTGGATTCGAACCGTGAGCCTCTGGGATTGCAGTTGCAGCTCCTTGCCACTAGGCCACCAGAGCTCCCCGAGGTCTACTTTTAAAATAGTCCCTTGTGGATGAGGGAGCCCTGGTGGCACAGTGCTTATTTGCTTAGCTGCTAATCAGAAGGTTGGCTGTTTGAACTCACCAGCTGCTCTATAGGAGATAGAGACGTCAGTCTGCTGTTGTAAGGACTCTAGAAACTTACGGGGCAGTCCTTTGTCCTATCCTGTCCTATACTGGACAACAATGGATTTGGTTTGGGACTTTTTTTTCTTTAATTTAGTTTGTTTATTTTTCATTTCAATGAACATCTACAGAGATTTTGGAATTCCATTCATTCATTGTTGCACCCTTCTCCCCGCACACCCCCCTCCCCCTCCTCCCCTTTGCTCCTCTCCTTGAAAAGCTAAGGAAAAACTCCCTCATTGGTACGCAATCCCCCTGCACCTCCCCAAACCCCACCACCCACCCCCAAATATAATCCACTCTGCAACCCTCATTACATACTCCTACGATAAAAATAATGCCCTAAAACATAATACTTTTAGACTATTCTCTCCCCCATAGACTTCAATGCCATAAACATATTTCATCCAGTTTTTCTCAGTCTTACCCCCACCCCAATGCCAGCCTCATTCTACAACAGTGGCACCGTATAGCATTTGTCCCTTTGTGACTGAGATACCTCACTCAGCATAATGTCCTCCAGGGTCACCCATTTTGAATAATATTGCATGAGTTCCTTGTTTTTCAATGCAGCATATTATTCCATTGTGCAAATATACCACAGCTTCTCTACCCATTTGTTTGTTGATGGGCATTTAGGTTGTTTCCAACTCTTTGCTATTGTAAACAAAGCCGCGATAAACATGGGTATGCATATATCTACTTGGATGTCATTTATGGTCTCTTTAGGGTATATTCCCAGTAGTGGAATTGCTGGGTCAAATGGTATCTTTATTTGCAACTTTTTGAGAAAGCGCCACAATGCTTTCCACAGTGGTTGCACCATTTTACAGTCCCACCAACAGTGAATCAGGGTTCCAGTCTCTCCACAACCTCGCCAGCATTGGATAATCTAATATTTTTGTGGTGTTTGGTGCTATGGTGATAGAGTCTGTAGTGAGTTTCGATGCTCACTCAGAGACCAAGCATCTCTGGCAATTTGACTCCACCAGCGGCTCCTGAGGAGGAGAGTGTTGAGAAACCACCCATCACAATTTATAGCCTCATAAAGCGGATGGAGGGTCACTATGAGTCGGAACAGACTTGATGGAAGTGAGGCATTTTTGTTCTTTTTTTAATGGAGAATCTCAGTCAAATAAACTTCCAACATTCTGCTACTATTTCCTCTTTTATATAATCTTTCCAGCCTGCTAAAACACATGCCTCCTGCTTGCCTAGGCCTGTCCGTGGCATTTGGTGACAGTTTGATTTTATTTCGTTAATTCACTCAAGAATTGCTTTTTGAGTACCTACTATGTGTTAGATGTTGTCCTAGGAACTGAGATACAGCAGTGAAGTCAACAAAGCTCCTGTTCTCGTGGTGCCCTCATATAAGTGGAGGGAAAAAGAAACAAAGCATCAACCAGTATGTAATTGACTTGCTAATACTCATTGCTGTTGATTTGGCGCACTCATAAGTTGACCTTACAGTGGGTTTTCAGAGGCTGTAAATTATACTGGAGGAGATTGCTCAGCCCTCTTCTGTGGAGCTGCTGGTAAGTTTAAACAGGCCACTTTTAGATAGGAGCAGTGTAACTCTGTATGGACCAGTAAGTATTAACAAATTCTGTGAAGAAAAGTGGCAGAGTGAGGGATTAGTGGTGAGAATTGAAGAGGCACTCAGGGAAAACCATAAATTTGTTAGGAATGGCCTCTCTGATGTCACTGGAGCAGAGAACTAAATAAAATATGAGGAGTAGATTCTGTGGCTATCTGGGAAAGGATAGAAGGGGTGAAAACCCTAAGCAGGGCTATGCTTAGTACACAAGCCTTTGTGACAATTACAAAATAGTGGTCTCTCTGAGGGGGGCAGCTTCCTTGGGCAGTTATTGCTTGCCTTCTCAACCTTGGGGTTTGCACTGCACAAACTGCTTCGTCACAAGCCATAGTCCTGGCCTGAGTTAAGGGTGGAATAGGAGATTCTGAGGGGTGTCAAGAAGGTCGAAGGGACTGGTATAGCATGAGCAAAGAGGTTTGCGGGAGATGAGGTTACACAGAAGAGGGCTTTATAGGTCAAAGCAAGACTTTACATTTTGTTTCAACAGATTGATTTAGATACAGTTTGCACATCATATAATTCATTCACTTATAAAGTTCATTGGTTTTTAGGATATTCATAGGTAGGTGTACAGTCAGTTGTAGAACATTTTTATCACTTTAGGAAAAATCTTTACAGCCCTTAGCGGCAGTCGTCCGTCTCCCCTGGCCTTAAAAAGACCATTGCCTTGCGGAGGTTCCAGCTCATAGTAGCCCTATAGGACAGAAAACAACCACTTATTTCTCTCTTGGAACAGCTGGTGAGTTTTGAACTGACAACGTTTTGGTTAGCAGTCAAACATTCAACCACTCCGCCATCAAGCTTCTTCCTTTAGTTTTAGGCCACCACCAATCTACTTTATATCTAAGATTGCTTATTTTGGACTTTTCTCCAAACAGGATTGCATGATATATGGTCTTTTTTTATTCTGGTGCCCTAGTGGATAGAGTTGCACCCAAAGGCAGGCAGTTTGAACCCGCCAGCTGCTTCAGAAGCAGTGTGTGATTTTTCTGTGTGATTTACTACCTCTGACAATCCAGGCAGAGCTATGAGTTATTTCTGACTTGAGGGTGGGCTTTTTTCCCTTTTAAACTTATTTCTATTTATTTTTTATTAGTGTGTGTGTGTATGTGAGAGAGAGAGAGATCTAATCCGACTGGCACAGGAGGAGATTGCCCCTCCGTCTCCAGCAGAGCATCTGGTGGATACGAACCGCACACCTTAGGGATTGCAGCGCAGCTTCTTGCCAGTAGGCCACCAGAGCGCCCTTCCAGTTTAAAGTTAGTATTAAGTTTTCAGAGCCTGCTCATCTATGGTGTAGTATCTCCCAGTCCTTCATTTTTTTACTGCTGGATAGTAACCCACTATTGGTGAGCCAGTCTTTGGAGAGTTATACTGCTAACCCCAAGGCCATATTCTCTGGCAGTTGGAATTCATTGACAGCTCAATGGGTGAAACATAGACAGTCTCTTCCCTTGCAATTTAATTTATAGACTCTAAAATCTGCTAGAGGCTCAGATATGAGTTGGACCCAACTCCATAGCAATGAGAGGGGGGGGCATGAACATATTACATTTTAATTCTTTCTCAGCCAATGAATATTTGTTTAATTTGCTTTCACTATTTGGCTAGTGTGGATGATGTTGATATAATAGTCATGTATAAGATGTTTTTCTTCTTTTTTATGTATAAGTTTCTTTGTGGGCATAGGTTTTTCTTTTTCTTACGTGTATATTGAGAGTTCATGTGGCTTAGTGGTAAGGCGTTGCATTGTGTTGTCAACCCAAAGATGTTTTGAATTCACCAGCTGTTCTAGGGAGAGAGATGAACAATCTCCTCTCATGTGATTCACTGCCTGATGGGAGTCAGCTATACATCGGTTCCAATTAAGTTCACAAATAAGTACATCTTGGAGTAGAATTGTGGGGTCTTATGTTATTGCTATGTTTATCTTTTTGGAGGACTTTCAAATTGTTTTTCACAGTGGTAGTGCCATTTTTCATTCCTGTTAGCAGTGGACAAGGCTTCTGCTTGCTCTATAACCTCAGCAATACTTAATATATAACTTTTTTTACATCTTAGTGGGGTGAGGTGGTATTTCATTGTGGTTTTGATCTGCATTTCTTTGATGCTTATTGGTGGTAATGTTCATGCACATATTGGCTATTTGTATATTTTTTTCAGAGAAATATACATTCAGATTCTATGTCCATTTATTTAGAGTAAAAATCCACCAGTTCAGGTGGATTTACAGCCTCTGAAAATCCACTGGAGGGTCAGCTCTGAGTCACTTCCTACTTCATGACAATGAGTTTGAGTTAATGAAAAGTTATTTTAAAAAAATCCCAACACATCTCATTGCTGTTGAGTTGGAATCAACATATCACTGACCCTCCAGTGGGTTTTCAGAAACTGTAAATCACATAGGAGGAGACTGTTCATCTTCCTCCATGGAACAGTTGATGGATTTGAACCACCTGCCTTCAGGTTGGCAGCCCAACTCCTTACGCACAAAAGTTACATAGTTGTTGGGTGCCATTAAATTGACTATGACTCACAACATCCCTATGAACTACAGAGTTGAATCTTGCCCTATCCTATCCTGCTCCATCTTCACCAATATGCTTTTTATTTGTGGTTTTTTTGTTTTTGTTATTTTATTATTTTTGTGTGTGTGCACCATCAAATTCTGAATGTATGGAGATAGGACACTGTCATATACCCTCCCCAATTTTGAAACTTGCTCTGTTCTGACGACTGCCTCCTGGTCCAAATATAGGTTTCACATTAGCACTATCTATCAAGTGTTCTGGAATTCCCATTATGCAGAACAGATTATCCAGGAGGCTGGGTTGTATGAGGAGAAGTGTGGCATCAGGATTGGTGGAAGGTTCATCAACAGTCTGCGTTATGCAGATGACACAACCCTGCTTGTTGAAACTGAGGAGAACCTGAAGTGCTTGCTTCAGAGGGTCAAGGACTGCAGCCTTCATTATGGATTGAGGCTCAATATCAAGAAGACAAAGATTCTCACCACTGGGCCAATTGGCAACATCAGGATGGATGGTGAAGAGATTGAGATTGTTCACAGCTTTAGTTTGCTTGGCTCCACAGTCAACACTCTTGGCACCAACAGCCAGGAAATAAAAGACGTATTGTGATGTCAAAGTCTGCTGTTAGGGACCTCTCCAAAGTACTGAAGAGCAATGGTGTCATTCTGGAGACTAGGGTGTGCCTGATACAGGCCATGGTCTATGCAACCACTTGCTATGCATCAGAGAGTTGGACAATGACTAGGGGTGATAGAAGGAGAATTGATGCCTTTGAGCTGTGGTGCTGGAGAAGAGTACTGAATATACCATGAACTGCTAAGAAAATGAACAGGTTCATTCTGGAGAGGGTTAAATCAGACTGCTTCTTGGAGGCAAGGATCTGAAGCTTTCTCTGACATACTCTGGACATGTTGCAAGAAGGGACCAGTCCTTGGAGAAGGACGTCATGCTTGAGAGTGTGGAGGGACAGTGCAGGAGAGGAAGACTCTTTATGAGGTGGATTTATTCAGTGACTAGGATAATTGGGGTAGGTATGTTGGAGACTGTGAGATTGGCACAGGATAGAGCAGGGATTAGAGCTGTTGTACATAAGGTTGTTATGAGTCACAGACAACTCGATGGAACATAACAACTATCATCAAATTGGATCTGACTGGTACAGGAGGAGATTGCCCCTCCTTCTCCAGCAGAGCATCTGGTGGATTAGAATCACAAACTTCTGGGATACCAATAAGCTTGTTGAGGGGCTTCATTTCTTATAGTTACATAGTTCTCTATATATTTGACAAGTACCTTAGGGAGCTCTGGTGGCTTGTTGTTAGGTGCCACTGAGTTGCCTGAGACTCATAGCAACCATATGTACAACAGCCCTGAAGCCTGCCCTATCCTGAGACAGTCTCGCTGATTCTGATCCATTGCCCTACTTACTGTATCAGTCCATTTCATCTGTGGTGGGTCTTCCTCTACTGGGCTATTTCTCCACCCTCCTGAGCATGATGTCCTTCTCTAAGAACCAATCCCTCCTGGCCACATGCCCAAAACATGTGAGATGGAGCTTCAAAATCCTAGCCTCCAAGGAGAAACTTAGCTTTACCCTCTTTAATACATACTTATTTGTTTCCTTGGTGGTCCATGGTATGTTCAGGACTCTTATCCAGCACCACAACTCAAAGGCATTGATACTTCTGTCATCCTTAGTCACTGTCCAGCTCTTTGATGCATAGCAAGTAATCGTGAAGACCATGGCCTGGATCAGGCACACTTTAGTCTCTAGACTGACATCGTTGGTTCTCAGGACTCTGGAGAGGTCCCTGACAACAGATTTTCCCAGTGCAATTTGTCTCTTGATTTCCTGTCTGCTGGTGCCAACTGTGTTGATTGTGGAGCCGAATTTATCAGCTGTGCTGAGGGAGAAAGCTGAGCAGTCTCCTCCTGTACGATTACTGCCTCTGAAAACCCACTGGAGGGTCAGTTCCAGCCTGACAGTACACAACAGCAAATACCTCAGAAGATAGAGAATTTATGAAAGGCAAAAAATGGTTTTGGATTTGAGTGATGCACAAATGTGAGTGAGTCACTGGAGGATGTTGAGCAGAGAAGTGATATGATGCGACCTAGACATTTGACAGGAGCATTCTGGTGGAGAGGGAGGAAGAAAGAGCAGAAGGAGAAGGATTTAGGAGACTGTTTGAATAACCCAAGTGAGGAATAATGTGTATCAGAAAAGTGATGGAGGAAATGGTTAGAAGATCTAAACTGTATTCTGGATTTTGGAGTTAGAACCAATAGGATTTACTGAAGGGTGGATAATGGGACATGAGGGAAAGAGGAATCAAAGGTGATCCCTGGTTTCTGCCCTCTGCACTTCGAAGGACAGATCTGTCATTTGTTGAGATGGCAGAGTTTGTTTCCTGAGGGCATGATCAAGAGTCATTTTTAGTTTGAGATGATTATTAGTCATCTAGACATTGAGAAAGAAGTTGGATTTTTGAGTCTGGGGATTTAGGGAAGAGTTAGGAGCTGGAATCTTCAGCACATAGACTGGTTTCATTTATAGAACTGGCTGGGATCACCTAGCTTGGCAGTGTGGAAAGATGCCCCGAAGGCTGAGTGCTTTAACTATATGCTCTTAACTATATAGCTCTATGCTATATGCGCATAGCTGACCCTCCAGCAGATTTCTGGAGGCTGTAAATTGCACAGGAGGAGACTTGCCCATCATCTTTCTTTCAGGGAGCAGCTGGTGGATTAGAACCATCAGAAAGGTGCCACCTTGGGGTTAGCAGGGCAGCAACCTGTAGACTACACCACCAGAACTCCCTACCCAAAAACTTGTTGGCTTCAAAGAAAACTGTTGTGTTTCTTACAATCGTGTGGGTCAGGAATTCAGGCAGGCCTCAGCTGGAGAGTCTTCCCTTTCATGAAGCTTCAGCTGGGTTACTCCCTTCGCTGCATGCAGATAGTGACAAAACTATTCGTAACTGTCAAGTAGGAACTTGGCCCTCCAGAAGGTTTTAGAGGCTGTACACTCATGAGAAGAGATTATCTTTCTCCCTGGGAGTGGCTGATTGATTCAAACCATTTGTCTTTGGGTTGGTAATACAACTCCTTACCACAGCTCCCTTGCAGCAAAATTGGATTTTTAAAAAAAATTCTCAAAATAACCCATCTCCATAATAAAAAAAAATCATAATAAGATTTTAAAGAGGAAAAGTCTTTTAGTAATCTTCAGATATAATTAATATTAAGAACTTGGTTATATATCCATCTATACATTTTATTGGACATATTATATATTATATCTTGGAAGGAGGCGTGGCATCCACTTCCATAATAGCTTGCCTCCAGAAACCCTGTGAACCTGGAGAGAGGATGAGAGACACCCAAGAGTTGAGGACTTTCCTTCATAGGGTCGCTATGAGTCACCTGCGACTTGATGGCACTTAACAACAACATATATGAAATGAAAATATACTTTTATATATAACATATTTATGCAATATTTCATGTTATATATTATTGCATATATATACTCGCATCTATAGTCTCTACTATGCATCCTGTCTTGGTCTCACACATGGAGCCTTCCATAATGGTTGCACCATTTTACACTCCCACCAACAGTGAATAGGGGTTCCATTTTCTCCACAACCTCACCAGCGTTTGTTGATTGCTACTCTGTTAAATTTTGCTATTCTTGCTGGGGTGAGATAATATCTCATAGTTGTTTTGATTTGCATCTCTCTTAGAGCCAGGGATTTTGAACATTACTTCATGTGCTTGTTGGCCATCTGAATGTCTTTTTTGGTGAAGTGTCTGTTCATATCCTGTGCCCATTTTTCTATTGGATTATTCACCTTTATCTTGTTGTGGTGAAATGCATTGTTTTTCATTGCTGCATAATATTCCATTATGTGAATGTACCATAGTTTTTCTACCCATTTGATTGTTGATGAGCATTTGGGTTGCTTCCATCTCTTTGCTATTGTGAATAATGCAGAAATAAATGTGGATATATCTGTTTGAGTCATGTCCCTGGTTTCTTTAGGGCATATTCCCAGTAGTGGAATTGCTGGGCCAAATGGTATTTCTGTTTCCAAATTTTTGAGAAAGCGCTAGATTGCCTTCTATAGAGGCTGTACCATTTTGCATTCCCATCAGCAGTGAATAAGCGTTCCAATCTCTCCATAACCTCAGTAGCATTTGTTGTTTGCTACCCTGTTGAACTTTGCTGGAGTGAGATACTTTGAAGTTGTTTTTATTTGCATCTCTCAGAGAGAGAGGGATTTTGAACATTTCTTCATGTGTTTGTTATGTGTATTTCTTCTTTGGTGAAGTGTCTGTTCATATCCTGTGCCCATTTTGTGTGATTAGGTTGTTTCTCTTTTTTCTAGTTGAGGTGTTGGAGTATTCTATAAATTTTAGATATAAGACCCTTATCAGGTCTATCATTGCCAAATTTATTTTCTTAGTCTGTGCATTTCTTTCTTACCCTGTTTGAGAAGATTTTTTGATGTGTGTAGGAATTCTATTCTTAGAAGCTCCCACTCATCTATTTTATTCTGTCCTTGTTATAGGTCAATTATGAAATTTTTTGTGTGTTACTCTGTCCAAAACTCCAGCCACTAGGTACTTGTGGTTCCTAAGCACTTTAAATGTGGCTAAGTGTGAGTAAGGAACTGAATTTTCATTTTCATTCAACTTTAATAAACTTACCTAACCACACATGGCCGGTGGCTACCATAATGGATAGCGCAGGTCTAGATGATTTTGAGTCGTATTGCTCTGTCACCAGTTCTGCAGGAAAGCAGGAAAGTGTTTTTCTTCCAGTCTCTTCATAGTCTCCGAAGTTTTCTGATTGTGCTTCCCTGCTGACTGTCAGCACCTTCACTCTCCTCTTTCTCTCTCTCAGGGGAAAGGCCCCAAAGCCGTCATCAGCATCAAGGACTTGAATGCCACCTTCCAGCCAGAGAAGATAGGGAACCCCCACGGGCTGCAGATCACCTACAGGAGAGACAGTGGCACCAGGAACCTGTTTGTGTATCATGAAAGTGGGAAGGTGAGATGGTTGTGATTTTCTGTGCTGGCCTCCAACTCCACCCACCCCAGGACTCGGCAGATCCAGTCTACCAACCCCTCACTTTGGAACTTGCTCAGCTCCCTCTTGCTCTTTGCCTTAATCTACTGTCACCTCCAGGTCAGTGACAGAAAGAAGAAGAATGGAGAGGAACCTGGCAAGGTAGCACCAACCAGAGTTGTATTAGTAGAGGGGACTGTGTCCAGGGATGACAAATTCTGAATGTGCCAGAGATTCTGAACATGGGAGGGTGCATGGCTAGCAGCTTGGGCGGACAGGGTTTCTCAGCGTGTTGTCCTGGACCAGCTGCAGTGGCTGCACCTGGGAGTTTGTTAGACTTTCAAGCTCAGTCCAGATCTGCTGAATCAAAAGCTATAATTGACACAATCTCGGCTTGATTCCGATGCTTACATCAGCTTGGTCAGTGAATAACAGGCCAATGGTACAGATCCGAGAGAGGAGGCTGGTTCAGAGCCTGAGCCAGGTCATGTGACATTGTAAGGGGGCAGGCCAGTGGGGTTGGAAAGGGATAAGGTGGGGCTGACTTTTCTGAGCCTCTCTTGGCTCTATGGCAGGCACTGTTTTTAGCGATAGTTGTACATCATATCTTAATCCTCAAAACAACCTAGGAAACTGTTTGTCCCCATGCCACCTGAGCAATGGGCATGTTATTATTGGTCAGGCAATTTAGTGTCCAGCTGACAATTCCTGAGCCAGCACCCATTTCACCACCTCATATGCCCCTGCTGGAGTGAGAACCCTTGACAGAGGGACCAGGAGCCGGATGCACATACTAGACCCATCCAAGGACACGCAGCATTAGATGCTTGGTAGTGCAGAGGCTGCCCACCCTTCAGCAGACTTCCTGTTTTCTCTGGAATGAGGGCAGGTGTAATCTGACACCCAGAAGGCATAGTATGGAGAGCCCAGGTTTGTAGTAAGAAGTCGGAGCATGACTGTTGCTCCTCCACTGTGTTGCTCATGTAGATTCTTTCCCCTCCTGAGTCTGTTGTTTCCTTGTCTGTAAGCAGGATTATAACATCCACTCCTCCTCCACCAGTGAGGTTTGAGAGTTGAGTGGCCATAGACCAGGAACATAAGAATATTTCAAACCAGTGAGGTGGGTCACAGACACTAGCTGCTGTGGGCTGATATTTACTTATTATGATTGCAGCAGCTAGAGAAGGCACAGTCTTGTGGGCATTTTCAAACCTGTATCTTTTATTCATTCAACAAATTCACTTTTGCAGTCAATCCTTATGATGCTCTTTCAATGTACAGAGCACTCTGGTGAGTTCTGGAGGATGTGATGGTAGGGGTCAGGGTAGAGCCATGAGTCTCAAGGATCCCACAGTCAGGGAACTAGGCCCCACATGCCATGCTGGAGATATGTCAGCTGTCTACTCGCTGGGGCAAGATGGTTCAAGAGGCCTTCTAGAGAAAGGAGCTTCTTTTAAGATTGTGTGATTACTCTGAAAAGCAGCATAATGCAAACTAGTTTACAGGGGACAAGATGGGAAAGATATAGAGGTTATTTTAAGGCCGGGAGGTATGACTGGGCCTCGTGAGAGATTAGAATCAGAGACTGTGGTATGGATATGAGAGACACAGACAGACAGATAAAAGAGAGATGCACTTCTCTTTGCCACAGGCATAACTTATTCCATGACACCAGAGGGGTACAGGTAATAGCTTTCTTTTTTGTTTCCCTAAATTCAAGGCTCCAAGGTTGCTGTGACTTCTACCCTAGGGCTGGTGAGATCTTTTCTGACTAGTCCAGCTCCCCTAAAAAAAAGATTGATTTTATCTGCATCTTGGGACTTGTGCTGCCCAAGAGACATGAAGGAGATGCTAGTTCTCAGTCTCTGGTGGACCTTCTGCTTTTACTCCTTGTCCAGACTGGCTTGGTCCAGAAGATGGTGGCCATCACTTCCACACCAGTCTCTGCCAGGGAAACCTTTGTTGAGGTGCCCATGGTCTCTGACACTTAGGCTCCCTGGCTTCTTCCCATTCACTCAGCACGGTGCACCAGAGACCTCGGTCTGGGTTCTCCAGTTAATTGCCTATGAGGTGGCTGCAGACTCATGCCTGTAGGAGCCGAGCAGGCTACTTAGGAAGAGCAGTGTGGCTCCAGGGAGCACCAGTGGCACAGCCTGGAGAGGGCTGCACTGCTAACCCGAAGGCGAGCCTCTCTGACAGTTTGAACACACCAACAGCTCTTCAGGAGAAAGATAAACATTGTCCTCCTGTGCCATTTACAACCTCAGAAAGCCAATGCAGGGCCAACTCTGAGTCGATTCTGATTCAATTTCAGTGAGTCTGAGTCAAGCTATAATGTGGGTAGGTATGAGGAGTTGGGTTCTGGCAAGTGGGAAAATTTGTTACAGGATTGAAACAGACAAGACTGGAGACCAAGCAAAGCATTTCTACCATCTGAGTCTGTCGCACTCTGCCAGTATGTGACTGAGAGACCTGCCAGTATAAAGTCCTGGATGGGTCTTTCCTGGGGGAAGGCCATTCCTTTAACATGCAAGAACCAAGATTCTTAACCTTGGGAGTCAAGAGAGCTCAGAATTTCACAATACTAAGTTTGGATACTTGACCTAGAAAGAGAAACCATATTTCATTCCTGTGATACCATATTAAAATTAATTTCTTAATCAGTATATTACACACATAAATGTGTAATAGCATTGCAGCTACTTGAACAAGTCTTTCAGCCATCTCAATTTTAAATTCTTCAGAGAAAGAGTCTGATAGGCTCAGCCTGGCCTCCGCACAGATACAGCCCCGGTCCATTTGCTGTGGTCAAGGAGACAGGTTAATTTGAACAGCAAATAGAGTTGACTGTGGGAGGTATGTAGGTGGTGTGGATGGAACAGTTCCTATAGACACAAGGCTGAGGCTGAGTAAACAACCAGAAAGCTATCTATTACATATAGGGTACGAATGAATGAGTAGGGTATTGTTGGAAGGAGGTATACGTGAGGATGAAGAGTGAGGGAGTTTTTCAGCACAAAGGGCATCTGTGAGGGAGACCGCAAATCCTTCTGAATGGAAGTTTTTCAGAGATTTAAGTAAATCATGTTAAGAAGTCATGTAAGCCATAGAGAGGATTTAATGGAGAGCAGCAAAGAAGAGGCTGTGCTGGTTAGATACAGTGAGTGACTTCTTTTTTATTTTATTTTATTTTATTTTATTATTTTTTTTGTGTGTGTACCGTCAAATCAGATCTGACTGGTACAGGAGGAGATTGTCCCTCCTTTCCTGGCAGAGCATCTGGTGGATTCGAACCGTGTTCCTCTGGGATTGTAGTTACAGTGAGTGACTTCTATGTGAGAGGTGAGGGGGCCAGTACGTCCAGCCAGTGCATTCTCCCAGAGCAATGGCAGAATGGTCCGAGCCAGCTTTGGCCCATGTTGCACAGCAGACAGAGAGCTTCCCTTGTCCACCACCCAAAAGTCAGTCTTCGATATCTGAGGAAAAGGCTCTCTTAGGCCTTTGTTTCTCAAAATGTGATCCCCAGATCAGGAGCATCAGCATCACCTGGGAGCACGTTAGAAATGCACATGCTCGCAATCCCAGAGGTACACGGTTCAAATCCACCAGATGCTCTGCCGGAGAAGGAGGGAAAATTTCCCTTCTGTACCAGTCAGATCTGATTTGACGGTACAAGCACAATAAATAAATTTAAAAAAATGCACATGCTCAGGCTGCACCTCAAACTTACTGAATTGGAATCTGCAGTTCATCAAGATCCTCGGGAGACTTGTATGCACATCAGAGAATGAATAGTACTGTCCTAGGCCGTTACAAGGAGTCTCTGGGTAGCCCAAATGTTTAGACACTGGAGATATTAATTGAAAGGTTGGTGATTCAAAGCCACCCACAGACAGAGACACCTGAAAGCAAGGTGAGACAATCTGCTTTGACAGGTGACAGCCTTGGAAACCTTGGCAGCAGTTCTATTCTGCACACAGGGGGTCACCAGGAGTAATAATCAGCTCAATGGCAACTTGAGACAACAGCAAGGCCATTGTGTGATGCCCATGTGGCTCTCTCGGTCCTTTCCCATGGGTCCGGGATTTTCCGTTTCAGGGACTTTGTCAGTCCTCCCTGGGAGCAGGATGGAACTCCTGAAATTGTGTACTCCAGGGTACACATGTGGGTGGCTGCTTGAATGCCTGTGCCTCAAACCTGGTGAGCCAGCTAGCCTCCTGCCACCAGCCCTATCCCCGCTTCCCATCTCACCATTGTCTGTCTGTTGCATTTTCCTCTGTAGGAGATAGTGGACTGGTTCAATGCCCTTCGCGCAGCTCGTCTGCAGTACCTAAAGATGACCTTTCCTGATCTTCCAGAATCTGAGGTGAGTCAAATGTGGGTCCCCGGCTTGAGAGTCTCCTTTCTGCCTCCTTCCCATCTCCTTTTTTGGTGATTCTAAAGACACTCAGAGGCCGGACTGAGTTTGTTTGCAGGCTTGGTCTTGAGACCAGATGGGCACCACAGCATCTGCTGGAATATGATTCCTACACAAGATGGCATTCCAAAAGGATGCCAGCTCCTTCAAGATGCATGGCTGCTGTGCCAGAGGGAAGGGGCTCAGGACTTGACTCCTTCCACTAAATGTACTCAAAATCTTCAACACACCCAGAACACTCAAAGCCTCTGAGTTGCTTCTAACCTCATGATGATCCTCCATCAGTTGCTTAAGGAATACATGTTTTATTTTATTTTATTTTTTTATTATTTTTGTGTGAGTGTACCGTTAAATCAGATCTGACTGGTACAGGAGGAGATTGTCCCTCCTTCCCCGGCAGAGCATCTGGTGGATTCGAACCGTGCGCCTCTGGGATTGTAGTTGCAGCTCCTTACCACTAGGCCACCAGAGCTCCCCTATGTTTTATTTTTTTAAGTTTTCTTTTTTGCGTGAAAGTTTACAAATCATATTGACTCTTCTTTCAATCATTCATACACATTTTGTTTTATAAGATTAATTACTATTAAGGGACCTCTGGTGGCCTAGTGGCAAGAAGCTACACTATAGTCCTGAAGGTGCATGGTTCGAATCCACCTGAAGCTCTGCTGGAGAAGGAGGGGCAATCTCCTCCCATGCATGTCAGATCAATTCAACTGCACATAACAAGCAAAAAAAAAATTAATTACTATTGATGTGTGTAATTAATTAATTACAATATCTGACTCACCTCTTACTATGTGTTGCCTTTTCCTTCACCCAACTTATCTTTTTTCTAAAGATAAAAGGTAAAGAAAGATTTATTAGAAAGCTACATCCCAAAGGAACAGACCTTCCTCTTTGAAAGGAAATAATGGAGGAGAGGCCCAACTTATCTTTTTATTTTACTCCCCCTTCCCTTCCTATCTCTGGCAACCATCCAAGAATATCTGTGTGCAGACCTTTTCTTAGCTTTTTAAAATAGTGGTTTTACACCATAATAGGCCTTTTGTGAATGATTTATGTTGCTTAGCATTATTTCTTCTAGATTCATCCATATGTGCAGTGTTTCACAAATTCTTTATCATTCTTTAGTGTTGCCTAATAATCCATTGTGTGAATGTACTATAATTTTTTCAGTCATTCATCTAACTTGGGTTGTTTCTATCTCAACTATTGTAAATTATACTGTAGTGAACATGTGTTTGCATGTATCTGTTTGTGTCACAGCTCTTAATTTCTTTGCAGTATATGCCTAGCATTGGAATTGTTGGAGCCAAGGGTTTTTCTATTCCCAGCTTTCTAAATTGCTCTCCATAATGGTTGCACCATTTTATGTTCCCACTAGCGGTGTTTGAGAGTTCTAGTCTTGACGTCTTTGTCAGCATTTGTTGTTTGCTGTCTTGAACTTTTCTATTGGTGAGATGATGTCTCACTCTTTTTCCTCATGGAACAGCTGAAGGATTTGAAGCGCCAATTTTTCAGCTAGCAGCCCAGTACATAGTGCACTCTGTCACCTGAGCTCTTTAATCCATACCATACTGCTTACAGACTGCTTTTGATTGAATCTCATGATCCCGTTCAGCTAGTAATCCCTAACAGCCAGCAGGATGATTACTCCCATTTCAGATGACAAAGTGAGACCCAAGAAAGTCAACTCACTAACCAAAGGTATGCTTCCTATTCTAACACCTCCTTTGCCTCTTGGTTGGTGTTCTGTTCAGAAAAGAAACAGGACCTTCCGCATTATGACTCCACTGGGGGCAGGTCCCCCTACTGGGGACAAGGTAGCGGAGAGCTGGCTCTTTTATTATCCTTAGGTGAATGAGATGCCCACTTGTATCTCTCAGGCTCAGCTAGCGGAGCCTGCATGGTGTGGGGCAGAGGGTTCTTGCCTCCAGCCAGGAGACCTGGGTTCTCTCTGATGGATGCTCTTATCATTGACATGCTGTGTCACCACCTTAAATCACATCACCTCTTGAATGTCCATTTTCACATCAGTAAATCTGGTGTTTGGGATTGCTTTTATTTTAGGGCCGCTTACACCTCTGGGGTGCTGTGGTCTCATCCCTGTTTTTACATTCCCTCCAAGTGGGTTTGAAGATTATGGAGGTAGGAAGCTTGTCTAGAGAACAGAAAATGTGACCCAGGGGCAAAGGTCCATGAATGGGTTTCTAAAAAGGCCCGAGGGAGTGAGAATAGCACAGCCCCTCACTGCTCCTGAGCAGAAAGCAGATAAAAAGCCCACGATCCAGCCCGTGCCTCTAAAGCCACACCCACAGCAAAAGGTTAATTTATTCGTTGTTGACTCACAGACTTTATTCACAGTTGTGGTACCAAGAATGGGCTTCATTAGGGAAATAAGTTGGAGAGTGGGGAGGCAAAGTATATCTCAAAATGCAACTCTAAGTTTCGTCAGCAGTCTCAAGCGATATTAAGAGCAAAACACAATTCCTTCATTAGTAAAAGTCCTGGTTTCAGTTCAGCAGCACAAACTCAAAAAGCCTCTGGTTTCCTCAATCATCCAGCAAGGTTTGCCTCAGAGAAGTTATAAGTCAGCTTCTCCTTTAAGCATCTGGTAAGAACAGCAAAGTCTTTAACTATGGCCTTTATCTCAGGGCTCCTCTGATTATACCTTGCCTCAGTTTCTCCACAGTCACTCCACCACCACCAGGGTCTGACCACTCCCTCTCACTCTCACTAAGATCTTGCACCAGTCTCCTTCAAAGTCTTGCTATGTAGTATGTTAAGCTAGCGTGCTCGTGCGTGCGCTCTCTCTCTCTCTCTTTCTCTCTCTCTCTTCCTCATCCTAGTTCCACCGCTGTTGATGATTTTCAAGACAATGTGTCTGCAGTTTTAAAGTAGCTAGAGATCAAAGGAAACTACAGTAATGGCTAAAAAAGCCAACTTTAAGCAAACACTGCAGAGCTCAAGTGAGTCCTAGGGTTTTCTTACTTTTCTATACCCCCTCCTTGAAAGCTTAAAGTTTTTGGGGTACACTGCTGGTGCTGTCATTAAGGCATTTGGCTGAGAATGAAAACACTGACTATTCAAATTCACAAGTTGTTCTATGGAAGAAAGATGAGGTAGTCTGGTTCCATAATGATTTACAGCCTCAGAAACCCTATGACCTGTTCTGCTCTGTTCTACAGGGTCATGATGAATCAGAGTCATTGATGGCAGCAGAAGTACTTAAGGGTGCGTTGAGGGCTCAGAGGCCTTCCAGGTGAAAGACCCAGATCCCATTACACCCTGTGTGCAGCCACCACCTGTCTGTCAGTGGAGATTTATATGTTATTAAGTTGCTGAACAGGTTTTAGCAGAGCATACAGACTAAGAACATAGGTTCATAGGTTTTCAAAGCCCTGTTATTTAGGGAGGAGATGACCCATCCTGTTTCCTAGTCTGTCTTAATTAGAGAGATCCACCAAAACCTGTCCACCACCGGTAACCCTTATGGCATATGACACACCAGTGGCACGACTTTCAGTTACTTTAACCCCAAGTTATCTCAGTATGGCAAACTGCAGACAGAATTAATTGTGCTCATGCAGAATCTATATCTGGATGAGGAGGCTGTTGTGTGAACAGAGCAGGGGAACACTGCATGGTTTAAAAGGGAGTATGTCAGGGCTGTGTTCTCTCTCCACACCTATTCAGTCTGTATGCTGAGCAAATTATCCGAGAAGCTGGACTATGAAGAGGAATGTGGCATCCTGATTAGAGGGAGACTCATCAATAGCCTGCATTATGCAGATTACACAACCTTGCTTGCTAAAAGTGAGGAGGACTTGAAGCACTTGTTGCAGATCAAGGAATGCAGCCTTTGGTATGGATTGCATCTCAGTGTCAAGAAAACAACGATTCTTACCACTGGATGGAGAGGAGATTGAAACTGTCAACAGCTTCGTCTTGCTTGTATCCATAATTAACACCCGTGGTACCAGCAGTCAGGAAATAAGGACACATTGCACTGGGGAAATCTGCAGTTAGAGACCACTCCAAATTATTGAGGAATTGTGATGTCAGTTTGAGCACTAAGGTGCATCTGATTCAGGCCATAATCTGTCTGATCACTTGCTATGCATCTGAGAGCTGGAAAATGAGTAAGAATAACAGAAAAAGAATTGAAGCCTTTGAGCGGTGGTGTTGCAGAAGAGCACTGAACAGCCCATGGACGGCCAAGAGAACAAATAGACGTGTCTTGGAGAGGGTGCAGCCGGAGTGCTCCTTGGAGGCAGGAATGATGACACTTTACCTCACAAACTTTGGGCATGTTGCTAGGAGGGGCTATTCCTTGGAACGGGGACATGAAGGGTGGAGGGTCAGCAAAGGAGAGGAAGACCCTCAACCAGGTGGATTGACACGGTGACTACCACAATGGGTTCTTGTGTGTCAGGAAATGTGAGGATGGCACAGGACAGAACAGGGTTCAGATCTTTTGTTCATAGGGTTGTTATGAGTTGTACTTGACTCGATGACACCTAACAACAACAACAGACTAAGACAGACTAGGATGAAAGGCCTGCAGATCACGTTACTTTTAATAGCCAACAACAGTGTGGATCACAGCCATCCAATCTGCAACCATTTGTGAGGAACAGGCAGCCTCGAGTTCTTTTGTGCAAAGGGGTTACCATGAGCTTAGGGTCAACTTGACAGCAGATGGTAACAAGTGTCTGGAACAGGGATCTACCCCAGTCCAGTGACGCACTGCGAAATAAGTTCTCTGGAGCAGTTGCAGCAAAGCCAGGCCCCTTCTGTCTGCTGAGTCAGTGCCGGCTCCCTGTGGGCAGGCAGTGAGCTGGGAGTGCTGACCGCTGGTCAGAGGCAGGACAAAGTGCAGATGCTCAGCATTATTCAGTCGGGGTTAGCTTTCAACTTTGCTGACCCGCATGGAGGAAATTGGTCACTGGCCAACATCCTCAATGTCCTCTTGCCTCCCTCATCCACTCTCTTAACCCTTTGTCTTCCTACTCTCACTCCGTTTCTCCTAGCCCTGCTGTATCCTCTCATTCCTCCCCCTTTGTCTCTGTGTACGGTATGAAGCCCTGGGCAGTAACCCAGACCTGGCTGTCAGGCCGTGGACCCTGATGCCGTGGGGTCTCAGTAGGGCTGTGGTTCTGTTAGGAGAAGTGCATGGACCTGATGCGTTATTGTAAGACAAATCACCTCATCACTCAGTCTTAGTTGACTCATCTGCCACCACCTTCAGGGCTGTTGTGAAGTCGTATAAGTTGAGACATGTAGGTACTCTATGATTTCCCTTCTTCCTCAGTTTTTTGTTTCCTTAGGCCTAGACCAGCCCTCCTCCAGTTCAAGTTTAAGCCATTGAGCAGGTGAGGACTGACTTTTCCCCCAATGGCAGATTTGAAGCTACAGGATGTTTTTTAGGGCAGAGGATGTTATACAATTTATAGTTTTGCCTTTACCTTACAATGTTCCTCCTCTCAGATACTTTATTTTACTCACCTTCCCATCTCCCTTCCTCTGAGCCCTGAAGTCCTAGAGAATTTTTTCTGCCCTTGGAACCCTGGTCTGTCATTTGCAGTAGCTGTTACTGTTGTTATGTGCCATTGAGTCAGGAGTGACTCATAGCTGAACCTTCAGCGGATTTTCAAAGGCTGTAAATGGCATGGGAGGAGGTTGCCTATCTTTCTGCCTTGAAGCCACTGGTGGATTCGAACCCTCTGCCTTAGGGTTGTTGCGCTACTCCCTACCCGTTGGCCAAATTATCCTTTCCCCACCCCTTCCTATTATCTAGAAACTCAATCCCTAGAAGAGTAATCTGAGCATGGGAGGGCAAACTTGAAGGGGATTTTAGAGGTAATCCAGCCTCTCCATTGCACAAGGTGAAAACAGATCCAGAGAGGCATAAGGTCTTGCCAAGGTAACACAGCTGCTTGAGGTCAGAGCTGGAATTAGAACCCAGGGCTCCTGATTCCTAGTCCACAGCTCTGTCTACTTGCCCTGTCTGTTATCACTTCTTCGTGGCCCTGTGCCAGATCACACAGATGACCAGGTTTTGACCTGAGGCTGAGTGTGCATGGCTGATAAATTTCGATGTCAGCATCCTAGTGTAGGAAAGGAGTTCTCTCTAGTATCCATCAATCCTGATGTAATTCCAGCTCTTCTTCCAAACAACTTCATTACTTTGGGGGGATGGCAATCCCTGGATGTTCTCCAGGGCTTAGATTTTTCATTAGTATGTTTGCATCTAGATTCTGAAAATTGCACTCAGAGTCTAGCACACAGTAGACCCTTGGAATATACTTCCTGGCACTGGTCTCACAGTCTTAGTTGTCTCCACACTGGAGTTATTGAAAAACCAAAACCCAATCCCTTTCAAGTTGACTCCAATTCATTGTGACCCAGTCAATGTATGTCAGAATATAACTGGGCGCTGTCAAATTTTCAATGGCTGCTTTCCCAAAACTAGGTCACCAGGCTTTTCTTCTGAGGTTCCTTTGGATAAACTCAAACCTCTAACGTTTCTGTTAGCATCTGAGCTAACTGTTCGCACTGCCCAGGAGGTCCACGATTACTGAAGGAGTTCTTAAATGAAGCTCGGCCATGCTGGCAAGCACTGCAAACATTTGGGATGCTCTTGCCTGGCTCTGTTGACGTACTAATGTTGCATCCATCTACATTCCAAATATAACCCTGTGAACCATGTGCATACATCCTTCCCCATTCCAGACATCCCCTTTGTTGGGGAGCCAAGCTCAGTGGGGAACCTGGGACCTCGTGGGTGTGAGTCAAGAGGTCAGTGTTCATCTTTTTTCTTCCCACAGCTCATACCCCTCATCACCAGGAATTACCTCAAACAAGGCTTCATGGAGAAGACTGGTCCAAAGGTACCTCCCATCTCTCCCTGGGGAATCTGCACAGCTCTTGTTTCTCCTTTCTTTTTTTTTTTTTTTAAATTGTGGTAAATACACTGGGCTCTGGTGGCTTAGTGGTAAGAAGCTGTGCTGCAATCCCAAAAGCACACAGTTTGAAGCCACCAGCAGCTCTGGGGGAGAAGGAAGGGCAACCTCCTTCCCTGAGATTAATGGCCTCTGAAAATCCACTGGAGGGTCAACTATGGGTCAGTTCCGACTCTACGGTACCCAACAACAAATACCCATATAATAGATGATTTGCCTCTTGAACATTCTTCACATGTCCAGTTCAATGACATTAATTCTATTTATTATGTTTGTCATGGCCATTATCCATTTCCAAACATTCCCATCACCTGTAACAGAAGCTCAGTGGTCCACTAAGCAGGGAGAATCCCTTGTTCCCTCTCTCTCACCTTTGTAGCCTTGGAAACTACTAACAGACTTTGCTTTCTACCCACTTACCTATAGTAGATATTTTCCTTCAGTGAGATACCTCTTCCTTATGGCCACCACCATCCTCCTCTTTATTTTTTAATCTCATCTAACGGATCCCATCCTTAGTGTCAAAGACGATAAAACATCATTTCATATTTTCTAGGCAGGCTATCAGGAGGGGCCAGTCTTTGGGAAAAAAATACATCATTCTGGGATAGTTTAAAGGGTCAGAGAAAGAGAGGAAGACACCCCCCCCCCCAACAAGGTGGACTGACAAGTGATTGCAATAGTGAGGTGAAGGTTGTGAAGATGGTGCAGGGACAGGGCAGGGTTTCAACCTGCTGTTCATAGGGTTGCTACTGACTGTAGTTCATTCATTGACACCTAACAGCTCATCCCATCTTTAGAAGAGCAAAGCAGAAGAGAGCGTCACTAAGGAGGGAACTTTTACACTTTCCAGAATCATTCTGTGTTCTGTGCTGTTCGAGCCAACAACTGGTCAGGAATGACATATATGTATGTGACACATGTTCACACCCTGCTTGGTTGGTGTCAGCAAGCCTCGTGCATGCATATCCCTCCCGCAGCACATACTCCCTCCCCAAACTCGGCCTCTGCTCTGCTTAACTTTGAAACTTGCTCCAAGCTCTAGGGCTGCTGATTTCTACTGGTTGAAGAAAGGAAAGAAGGGCTAGTTGCTTCCATACCCCATGCTTATTGTGGAGGAAGGGAGGTATTGGCTGGCTGGCCAAGCCTGAAGCTGGGTGGCACTGGGATCCAAGGCAGGAGTCTGGCAGGAGGGAAGAAAGACATGGAGAAGGAGTGCAGTGAAGAAGGGAGGAAAGAAAGAAGAGAAGAAGGAATTAGAAAGCTGAAAGTCAACACTCTCATTGCTGTTGAGTTGGAACCAACTCATAGCTGACCTTCCAGTGGGTATTCAGGGGCTATGTATTGCATGGGGGGAGGTTGCCAATCTTTCTCCCTCAGAGCAGTTGGTGGATTCGAACTGTCTGCCTTTGGATTGACAATCCAACTCTCCCCACTAGGCCACTGTCGTTGTTGTTATGTGCCGTCGAGTCGGTTGTGACTCATAGTGACTATGTACAGCAGCCCTAAACCCTGATCTATCCTGTGCCAACTTTGTTTCTGACAGACATACCCCCACTACCCCAGACACTGAGTCAATCCTCTCTTGAACTATCCTACCTCTCTTTCAACCATGATGCCCTTCTCCAAGGACTGGTCCCTCCCTGCAATATGCCTAAAGTATGTCAGATGAAGCTTCAGAATCCTTGTCTCCAAGGAGCAGCCTGATTTCACCTCTCTAGGATGAACTTGCTTGTTCTCCTGAAAGTCCACAGTATATTCAGTACTCTTCTCCAGTACCACAGCTCAAATAGCAACTCTGAAATACCAGTATTCCAGTGGTTTATTTTTTTCTTTTTAAATGTAGTATGTTGGCCATATAGTGATTAAATCTGGGATGAAAAATGTTAGGGAATCAGTAGGGGAAAAGCCTCTAACAATTTGAAAAGGTAGTCAAAGGCTCACAGATTATATACCAGCCTTTGTACCACCAATGGCAAGGCTCTCAACCCCCTCCCTGTGCCCTTTGCCCCAGACTTTCTCTCCCCTTGACCTGGGTTAAAATTGGACCAAGGCCAAGCTCAGTCTTGCTGAGCCTGTGGCCACTTCTGATTTCCCCAGCTTCCTTTTTCTGAGACTTCTTGTTCTCAGCCTGAGAAAGAAGGAAGCACCCTTTCCAACTAAAGCTAGCATCTGCAGGCAGCAGGGCATGACTAGCGTACAGGCAGGGAGGGCAGGCCTTCTTACCCCAGTGCCCATGCCCAGGCCCAGAGGAGGGACTCAAGTCTCTAATTTTGGGGGGCAGAGGTAGAGACCCCAGAACTGGCATTTCCTGTGGGTTGGTGGGGGCTGGCCTCTTGACCTCTGTCCTTAGCACGTGCCCCTCAGCTGTGCATCCCTGGTAAGAGCTTCCTTTTTCTGCAGCAGAGAGAGCCTTTCAAGAAACGGTGGTTCGCCCTGGATCCTCAAGAGCGGAGGCTGCTCTACTACAAGAACCCTCTGGTAAAAGCCATTGTTGTCTCTCCCCAGGTTCTCCTCAAGTGGTGGGAAGTTAGAGGGGGCAATAAATACACATCTTCTGGAAGCCTAGGGCTGGAGAAGGAAACCCTTCCCTCCTTGCTTGTAGTCAGCTTTCCCCACCTCTTCCCACCTTTATGGTACCAACTGGAGTTAAGTCGGTTGTACTTTGGCCTCCAGTCTCCAGGCCTCTCCTCTACCCGAGAGTCTGTGGGTGATTAGAGTGTGGGCTTTGCTCTGGCGCTGCCTCTTTCAGTGGTGTGTCCTGAACCAGCCACTTTGTTCTCTTGCCTCAGCTTCCTCCTCAGGGTAAAAACTTTAACAGCACTGCCCTTCTCAGAGGCTGTCATAGTTACCTGAGTTACTATGTACAAAGCACACCATGAAAACCAAAGCCAACTCCATGGCCCTCAAGCTGATTCTGACTCATGCTGAGACTCCCATGGTTCCCGAAGCTGTAAATATTTTCTTTTCTTCATTAATTTTAATTAAAGTTTTTTTTAATCTTTTTAAATTTTATTATTTTTGTGTGAGTCAAATCAGATCTGACTGTAAAGTTTAAAGAGACTTAGGGTTTCCAGTCATTCATTGTTGCACTTTTCTCCCCCCCGCCCAATTCACTCTTCTCTTTAAAAAGAAAAAGAAAAACTTTTTCATTGTTATGCAATCCCTCCCCCTAAGTCCACTTCACTCCACTATGCAGTCTTCACTGTGGACTTCTGTAATGACAAGAATACCCATTCATATGTCCCTTTTAAACACTTCTCTTGCTCATTTGTTTCAAAGCAATATGCCTCATTCCTCCCCTCCTTTTCTGTCTTCCCTCAATCTCGATGTCAGTCCTGTTTTACAACAGTGGCCCTATGCAATATTTGTCCTTTTGTGACTGAGATATTTCACTCAGCATAATGTCTTCCAGGGTTACCCATTTTGCATAATATTTCATGAGTTCCTTGTTTTTCAATGCTGCATAGTATTCCACTGTGTGAATATATCAGAGCTTCTCTATCCATTCATTTGTTGATGGGCACTTGGGTTGTTTCCAGCTCCTTGCTATTGTGAACAAAACCACAATAAACATGGGTGTGCATATATCTGCTTGGGTGGCAGTTATGGTTTCTTTCGGGTAAATTCCCTGTAGTGAAATTTACATCTCAGGAGCTTTTAAGGCTGCAGGCTTCCCTCAACTCAAGGCTGAGCCTCCATTAACCAGCCCAGTTCCTTCTGTTTACTTTCAGGATGCTTTTGAGCAGGGCCAGGTGTTTATCGGAAGCAAAGAACAAGGCTATGAAGTCTGCGAAGACCTGCCCAAAGGCATCCGGGGCAATCGCTGGAAAGTGGGCCTCACCATGGTCACCCCGCAGCGGAAGTTTGTGTTCACCTGCCCCTCAGAGAAAGAGCAACGTGAATGGCTGAAGAGTCTGCAGGACGTCCTGTCCTTCCCCTTCACCCCGCTCAGCCTCCTTGGTAAGAGGCAGACACTGGGGTTTGTTCTTCTGGGCAGGGGGAGCGGACAGAAAGGGGCTTTTCTTCTTGGTCTCTGCTCAAACCAAACCACTTAGGATCAAGTCCATTTCCACTCATGACGACCCTGTCTGTGCCAGGAGGAGAACTGCAGAGTTACTGGTAGCTGATTTGGCACAAGTAGATCACCAGGACTTTCTTCTGTGGCACCTCTAAGTGACTTGACTCATCTTTTTGTTCATCTTGTCATTATCTCATTGTCATCAACTCAGAACTGACTCATAGCTGATTCGAGCGGGTTTTCAGAAGCTGTGAATCACTCGGGAGGAGACTGTGCCCATCCTTCTCCTGCAGAGCACCTGGTGGAATTGAACTGTCTGTCTGTAGGTCAGCAGCACAACCTCACCCACTAGACCACCAGAGCCCCCCTTAAATTTTTAGCAGCCAAGGGCATTAATTGTTGGCATTACCCAAAACTCCTGGGTTTTGGTGTGATGCCCTAAAAGAGCTCAGACCGTCTCTTGAATACTCTCCTTGCATTTTCTCCCTGACAAAGAAAAGTACAGATAGTGTGCATGCTGGCCAGACAGAAGTCCTGTCAATCTGCCCCTCTGTCTGATGGGCAGCCTTTCCCCCCCTGCATCTAGTGACCTTTATCCTTGGCAGAGCTGTACGTTCTCGCAGAGCCCCTTCTCTGCCCTGCTCAGTCTAGGGGCTGTGTAGCTCTGTCCGCTACCCTTTGAGTCTTTTCTTGTGAGAAAACCATGGCCTGCTATTATTAGCTAAGGTCCCCTGCTGCCCTTGTGCTCCTGGGACTTCAGACAACGTCCCATTCCTAAGGAGGGCTGTTTATTTTTAGTGCGCCTTCTTTTCTGGAGCCTTCCCTCTGTCTGTTTCTCTCCTGCTCCTCCTCTCCACCCTTGATGATTCACAAGTGGGCTTTGCTAGCTGCTAACAGCCCTGTGCAAAGAGGGGAGACGTGCTGAGCAAGAGCAGACACCTTCTGGCAGGGTGCTGGCCTGGGGCTCCTCAGCTGGGACACAAAGGAGGAGTTTGGAAAAATACAGGACCCCACACAGCCCCCTGGGGGGAAGACCTTTGTGTGTGACAGCTAGAAACACAAGGTCTCTTCACCTTCTAAAATCCAGAGCTCCCAAACATGGTGACCCTTGTTTCGAGCTGAGGTGTATCCACTGGCCCGTTCTTTCCTGTGTGTCTGAGGGTCCCTCTTCATTTCTGTCTTTGGGTCTCTAACTCTGTGCTTCTTTTCCTTCTCTAGTGTGTATCCCCTCCGTCTCTTACTCTCCCAGGCTGGCTTTTGGCTCTTTCTGTTACTGTGTCCTGGCCCTGCCCTTTGAACTGACTTTACTGGCCTTTTTTCTTGTTTCCTTTGCAGCTATGTCAACAGAGAGTGGCCTCGGGAGCAGCAGCAGGTGACCTGTGGACCATTGAGCTGGCTAGTGACTGGCAACTCAAGGCTTACGGCGGGAAGGAAACGGCCTTTTTGCCTAGCAGGCGCACCCTGCCGTCGGGAGTGAGTGAATATGTCAAGCCTGAAGCTGTGGCCTTTACCAAGGCCTGGGCTTTGTCCTGCTGCCCAGCCCCGGGATCCCCATGGATCTTGTGTACAGATGGACACATATATACTCCCTTGTCCCATCTAGGTCTGAAATGTCCTCGTAGTCTGAGCTCAGGATACCCTCACCCAGATTTGAGGCAATGCAATAAACGGGCACTAGCCACATCTCCTTTTTTATTCTTAATTGTGAGGAAATGATCAGATAAACCCAAACTGAGAAACACTATGCAAACTGTGGTCCTGGATGTTTCAGAAATGTCATTGTCATGCAAAACGAAGTCATCTAGGAACTGATGTAGATTGGGGGAATCTAAAGAATATTCCAAGACTACCAAAAGAACAAACAAATGTCTTGGAGAAAGTGCACCCAGTGTGCTCCTTAGAGGCAAGGATGCTGAAGCTTCGTCTCACATATTGGGCATGTTAGGAGGGGCCAGTCCTTGGAAAAAGACATCATGGTGGAAGAGGACAGAGGCTCAGTGAAAGAAAGGAAGAACCTCAATATGATGGGTCAGCAGTGATTGTAACAATGGGCATGAGATGGTGAAGAGGGTGCAGGGACAGGGCAGGGCCCAAAGAGGGGCGCTATGAGTTACAGTCAACTCAACAGTACCTACCAACAAGAACCAACCGTGTGGGTCATGATTCTTGACCGGATCCTGAATTTAAACAAACAAAATATATATGTATACATGGATGTATTTAGGATATTTGGATGTGTGTTAAATAAAAGTATTAGGGCATTGTGATAGTTTTACTGTAGTTAATGTGGACAAATGTGTTTGTTTCCAGGAGATAGTTGTTGAAGTATTTGGGGGTAAAGTGTAACCATGTCTACAACTCATTCTTAAATGGTTCAGGGGGGAAGTGTATATATGTTTATGTGTTGCAAATATATACATAAAGAGAGAGAGAGAGAAACCCCCCCACACACACACACACACACTTTCACGGGGGCCCTTGTGGCTCAGCGCTTAAAGTGCTTAACTGCTAACGGGAAGGTCAGTGGGTAGGTTGGCAGTTTGAATCCACAAGCTGCAGTGTGAGAAATAGATGTAGCAGTTTGCTTCTATGAAGATGTATAGTCTTGTGCAAGAGTGGAAGTCAACAAAACCTAAGGGTTATTATATACAAAGTCCTGAAATGTGATAACAAACGATATCCATGGGTAGATCCATGGGTAGATGAGAGGCTGAATTGATGTGGGGAGGTACGCCCCAAATACACAGCTGACAGAAGGTATTTCTAGATATATATTTGTGTGTGCTCCAAATGTATTCAAGGATCTATATAGAGCATTTTGGGGTGGGGGGAATTCTGAAAACTTCTTAGCCATAACCAAACACCCTGGGATAAAGAGTCATTGGACTTGGGGACCTAGGACCATTCCTGGAGCACATCTAGGTCAATTGCATAATATAGTCCACAAGATAGTCCTGCACCTTTACTCTGATGAAAAAATGAGTCTTAAAAGCTTGCAAGCAACTGTGACCAGGGATAGGAAGGGAGGGAGAGAAGAGTATGTATTAATACATATTTAAATAGATGTTAAGTTCTTCAAGGTGGTCGAGTTCTTGCTATGGTTTTGGAACAGACTTTTAGCTGACTGTCTAGTTTTCAGAAGTTTGTAAATTGCATTGACCTCCCTTGGAGCCACCTGGTGGATTTGAACTGTCTGCCTTCGGCTTGGGTGATAGGAAAAGCAATATGTAATTGAGAGTTGATCAGGCATTGCAATTAATGAATTATAATCAGTTGTAATTAGTGTGATGACAAAATGTATATGAATAATTGAGTGAATAACCCATATGATTTGTAAAGTTCCAGTGAAATTTTTTAAAAATAAAAAAATGTCATCAAATAATTAAAAAAAAATAAAGTTTGAAATTAACCACCAAAGATGCAACTATTGATCTGTCCTCATCTGGAGCAGAGTGAAGAAAACCATAGACTTGAGGAAACAATAGTCTCCACTAACTAGCATGAGTCCAGAAGAACTAGATGGTGCCTTTGCTGACTGCTCTGAGCAGGACAGCAACAGAAGGTTCTGGATACAGAGGGAGGGGAAAAATATTGAGTAAAATTTAAAATTGTGTAAAAGAACAGACTTACTGGTTTGAAAGAGACTGATGGAACCATGGAAACTATGGCCCCAGACACCCTCCACGCCTGGAACGGACACGTAATTAGCTTTCAGCCAGACAATGGAGACCTTTTTTTAAAAAAAAAATTTTTTTTATTATTTTTTTATTGACAGAGACATTTTTAAAGTGAACTCATAAAAAATGTGTGTCCACAAGGGCAACGTTTACCCCCAAAGTTTCAAAGATAGGAGGTACAGAAAAAAAAAAGGGCTAAAGGAAATGGGGACCACAGGAAGAAAGAGGGAAGAGAGCCAGTACTGAAGGGATTGCAAACGATGCTGTAAAGGAAAATGTTTATATATTATTGAATAGAAAATAATTAGCTGTGTAAACTTTTACCCAAACTGCAATAACATGTGAAATCAAAACACGTGAAGGTAAAAATATCTTCTTACTATAAAGGATTTGTTGTTGTTATGTACCATTGAGTCAGAACCGACCCTAGCTGACTCTGGTGGGTTTTCAGAGGCAGTTAATTGCATGTGAGGAGTTTGCCCATCCTTCTCCCAATAAATGATATTGTTGTTGTTAAGTGCTGTCGAGTTGTAGACGACTCATAGTGACCCTAAATACCTGAGCACTTGTTTAACTTTGGTCATGTCTCCATGTTCTCAGAGTTTCCGGAGGCAAGCCGTTTCAGAAGTGGATGTCACTCCTGCTTCCAAGCTTGTTTTAACTGGGAAGATAAAAGATATGTTGTTGTTGATGTTGTTATGTGCTGTCGAGTCGCCTGCGACTCATAGCGACCCTATGTACAACAGCCCTAAACTCCGCTCTGTCCTGTGCCAATCGCACTGTCTCTGACACTCCCATTC